ACATCTTCGATTCCCGAGGAGGAACGGCAGATAATTAATTCGTCGATGCGAAAGTTTTAATTTCTCGGCAAACGGCTGAATCTCGGGGTAAGAAGATCGTCCATTTGAGATTCGGAACGACGGAAATGAAACGGATTTCGTGTGTCGTCTATCACGCGCGTTTCTAATAATAAGCACCGCTTCTCGTTATCGGAAATGCTCCTAAAGACTCGTAGAACCGCAATTGCTGATGTCCCTAGAGAGAAAGAGAGAGGACGAGTGAGAGAGAGAGAGAGGAATATCGTTTCCCTATAGTTAATTACGAATAGTAACGCATATATTTGTACTTCTGATCGCGGCGTTTCCTAATTACCGCAATTTGTATCGCGCGACAGGTCTGTCGGAATACGAATTACACGAGAAAATTAAGCAAACGCGATTTGATCGCGACGCGCAGGACTACTTCGTGCAGCGATCGAGTTCCAGCGTGGCCCAATATGGCGGATTCGGAAACGTTTCGTACAAACGGAAATAAATTCTCGAGCAACCGGATTAAAAGTTGAACCAACGGATCGATGGTTTACGAGGGTAATATCGCTGGAAAATGATGATCAATACCGGGCATCGATACCTGTTCTTCGAAGCTTTACGAAGCAATAAAGGCGCAGATTAAAACGTGTTCGGGACATTGACCGAATCGCCTCAAACTTCTACCAATTTTGTCCCGCTGCTTTTCAAACGATCCACGTGAAAAATAGAATGAAAATATTTCCATGATATTTCATAGTCCTTCGATCACGATTGAAAGCACCAGGCCAACAAGTATCATCCATATTTGCTGCATACAAATAGTAGTCGTTCTTTTTAAAATATAAAGAAATTTGATCGAATTTTGATATAAAACTTCTTATCATCTTAAGGGTAGTTATATAATATTAATTAAGGAGTCGTTATACTTAATACTTCAAGCAGAAGTAAGGGAGCACCGTCTACTCTAAAAATCCGATACTACTTATTGGTCACCCTAATACATAATGCAGATGGGTTTCTCGAAACTTTTCGAAATCCAAGAAAGTTTCATTACTTGGAAATTTTTCCCCCCTTTCGCGATTTCAGATTCTCGAAACATAGATAGAAGGACGAAATATAAAATTGATGCGCGAGGAAAAAATCTCTCGTCGTAACCATGATCGATAAAGAATCGTGGAGAAATTTTGTCGAGATACCGGTGAATAAAACGAAATATCCCGGACGCAAAGTAAAATTAGAATTTCAAATTTCGAAAGTTCGCGGAAGTTTCGAAATCTCGCCAAGTTTCAGATTAGAGTTTCGAGGATTCGTGAATTAAGTTCGAACCCACTTCCGATATATACGTTCCGTGTGTTATCAGAGTCAGAGGGGAGGCATCAGAAGCTGACGCGAAAAGAACTTAAAGTAGCTAGTTTTAGGCGGAATTTATAATGGCTACGGGGAAACAGGACACGCAGCGTTTGCAGACAAAGCGCTTTAATCCCCCAGCGCACCATGAGATTTCTCGGCCGCTCGTTTTTCTCGAGCTTGACTTTTCTTTAAAACACGTCGGGTCCATTATTCATGTTTATCTATAGCTACACCTACAGGCAACGGGCCATCAAATTTTTTAACGATACAACGACTGGTTACACGAAACAGAGCCGCGCGTTAGCCAGGAATTAAAACGCTTTCTCATCGAGAAATAGCAGAGAAAAATATCGCGAGACACGGGGCCAAATTCTCGCCATTTTCACGGTTAAAATGTACGATGTCGCGTCGCGTGGATAATATATCTCTCGCACGGAACCCGTATTGCATCGGACTCGAAAAGTACAATCAAAACAATCGGAAGCGATATCAGGCAGGTTTTCACACGGTTGCCTGGCAATTATCGCGGCCGACTATCGATCTACGAAGTCTTGTTCCCCGGCAAATACGTATACGACGACCAAGTTCTACCGTCGAACACGCGTATCGTTTATCGCGATGGGAAATTGCGTTACGCTGCTGCAAACATTTCTAGGGGCGAGTTCACATGTTTATCCACAGGGAATCAGCAGTCGCCTGGACAAGATTAGAAAATGTCACCTACGGCGAGGAACAGAAGGTCGCTTATGGACTCCATTCCGAGCCACTTCGCAATAACGGGGAAAGATTTTACGCGACTCGAATGTCGGATTAGGGAGATTCGAAAAAATGAGCAGCCTAGTTCCAGAGTTTAGATTAACTAGATAGATAGATAGATAAATCTTTATTGTTTTCCTATTGGATTACGAGGGTTCCGTCTCTCTTTATTCTCCACAAATATTGCCTATTTTATGTAAAATATATAACTACTATAACAACAGTACAATATTAACGAAACAACAGCCTATGATACAATCATAATAATAACTTAACCTAACCTAACATAAACATACTCTTATTTACACACTTAACCTCTTGCACTCGAGAGGTGACTTTCAGTCACCATTTAATCAGATTCTAAAGATCCACGTTAATTAATATATCAAATTTAAAATTACCTAACGATGTGTGGAGTGTGGAAGAAAAATAATTCTACGTTTTAATTTGCATATGATTTCTCATTTATCGTTTTAAAAATATCGTCGACTCTATGACAGAAAGTCTTCAAATTACTATTTTTCTGCAACGAAAAAGTCATCGAGTGCAAAGGGTTAAACCATATCTTATCTCAACCCCCATCTTTGGTTTTCCCTTTGTACCATTATTTTTCCTTTTCCTTTTTCTTACACTCGAATTTAGACTAACTAGAAATATCGAAGGACGGAGAAATTCGACGAAGAAATAAATTCTCGTTCGTTTCAAGATTTTCGTGGTTCGTTGATACGAAATTAACGACGTACCAAACAGGAAAATCTCTCGAAGAATTTCAAATCGCTGATTACTTTCTCACCCAGAGCACAGCCATTCGTGCGAAAAAGAAAAATCGGAGCGAGGAAGAAAGGGATGCGAGAAACTCGTTAAGTATCGTGGAAAGAGACACGGAACTTAAGACGACAATCTACGGATATGAAATCCGCGCGTTTGCTAATTCCCCTTAGGAAGTGCCTAGCGAAGGAACGTTGCGAATAAGCTGAATCAAGGTGAATAATTTGTGGATAGAAATGAATAACCCGAGTTCATTAGATATTTCCATCCCATGCATACTTGTTCCACTTATCCCAACACATATATATTTAAAAATCTATGCAACCATTACCACAGAATTCAGACTGACTCACTCGCTATACCACGTAACGACAAAGACACCTGTTTACACGAATTGAAGGAAGATATCGCGATTGTAAAATGTCTGCTAATCTCTAACAGTTACCAGATATAAATTCGCGAATTAAAAATTTTTAATTTATAGGATTTTGAAGACAGTTTTTATCATGACACATGTGTCACGTATCTAAAGTAGTACGAAACGTGATAAGTTCTACTCTACACGCGAGTAATCTCGAAACGAGACATTAGGCTATTTTATGAATGCACCAATCCTTTCTATAAAATATTCTAAAGGAATACTAATTCGTACTATGGATAGAAATGAATACCAATATCTTCCACGTTTTTTAACAATTGACAAATTAATACATTTAGATAATAATATTTAAATACTGACAACAATTCTAAATAAACTATTTTTAAACACAAAGATTGACTCTATCTTGAAAATTCTTTTCTCTCCCTCTCAATCGTATTAACTCGTGTTTACTCTATCACGATTCTCACGTAACTGTTTCATTCTGGCACATTCTTCTAAACATTTTTCATCAACATTCACACTAGATTCCACTCGAAAATATTATATTTATATCATAGCAAATAATTTTCATTTGTTCTACCTCAATACCATTCGCGCATATAAAACCAATACTCGCATAATTTTCTTGCCTGCTTTCGAATTAATAAGATCACAGTGATGTCTCGAAAAGCTACGCGTCTGGATACGAGTTCAAAGCTGTTCAATGCGATGGAACTTAAGAGTGAATCGATTCAAACTAACCCTATCGACTCTGTTTAACCACTGATCGACTCGAAAATTATCATTCGGGTTGAATTAACATTCAAATCAGACACGTATCCAGAAAGCTGTTAACCAACTAGCATCCTTGCTCGACAAAAGCGTAAACGCTTCCTACGATCCGCCCCTTTTCTTATGCCGCGAAGTTTCCCATTAAGTCGGCGGTACTGCTCTCGAGTTCCTTTGATCCAATCTGGAATTCTCGAATCGGATCCTGCGCGAAATTACGTAGGCGGAAATCGAAAGAAGATACCGGTGGATTTAAGTAACGAATTCACTGCTACGATTTTTCTACAATCGGGATTGTTGTACCGCGATTAAACTCGACAGGCCGATCGATACGAGATTTGACGCGTGTGGCTCGTCCCGTTTTATCAGCAGAAACGCGAGCATCTATCTGCCTATCGTAGGTGGATCAATCGGTTCTATTGGCCGTGGTTTCTCCCGTGGACTAGCTTCGTGGCAGCTGTTTGAAACTTTTAACGATATGCATACGCCGGGAAACGCTGCGAGCGTCGTCCGACGTTAATTGTCCCCGACACCCGTTAATTATGCAAACTAATTTCGGGAGTCACGGACGAAAGATAAAAGGGAATCGTCGAATTAGATTTAATCTTCGCGTACACGTGTTAAAAACGTTCAGACGAATCTCTTGGAGAACATTGGTGTCTTTTACAACTTTCTTCTCTCTAGTTTCACGAAAGACCCATGGCTAGGTGATATCCTAAGATAAAAGGGAATCGTCGAATTAGATTTAACCATCGCGTACACGTGTTAAAAACGTTCAGACGAATCTCTTGGAGAACATTGGTGTGTTTTGCAACTTTCTTTTCTCTAGATTCACGAAAGACCCATGGTTAGGTAATATCCTAACGCGAAATACGTTACCCTAGGAGAAAGGTCTGTCGTGAATTTTTTCTTCCTCCTCGAACTTCTGTTTTATGCCCGAAATATTTTTATGATGTCTGTTTTATAGGGAGAGTTCTAGCGAAATGATGAAAGGTCGGCATCAATTTCGTCGTCGCTTCAGTCTCCAGCCGTCGTCGATGAAAGAGGGCCAGGAAGATGGAACGACGAAAAGCTGTAGGTAAGGAAATTTATGCCTTCGAAACGTCTCTAAATCTGTCTTATTCGCGCTCGCAAATCCTTTACCTCGATAAGAAAAGAAGAATCTCCCTCTCTTATCCCCGAGGTACCTTTACTCGTACACTTTGCGTGCCTCGTCTCCCCTTGTTTCACGGAGAACGAGCCGCGAGACTTCCTCTTCGTACGCAAACCGACTACGATTCTATATCCTGCGAAGTACTACTTCGTTTGATTCGAAAGAAACGAGAAAGAAGAGAATTTTCCCGGTGGAAAGCGCGTTTTACGTTATTTTCAAGCAGATTCCAAGTTTCGACCATTTTCGTTCCCCCTACTTCGTTTCATTTTCTTCTCCCGTTCCCTCCTCTTCTACCCTCTGACCTCCTCTTGACTCCCTCTTAGACCGGGCCGAGCTTTAATTTTGCGGCTAGTCTCCGCAAAAAGGGAAGCTCGCGCTCTCCTCCTTTGTGCGCCCGGTAATAACCGTGTCTGACTCCTCCTCGTAATAAGCGTGGATGATTACGAAGATACTTAGGAACAGTTGTTATCTGGTGCATGCAAAAGCACCGGTGTACAGCCGACGTCGCTGTCGCTTGCACACTCTACACAGAGCTTGACGTTGTAGGGTGTAATAGAGGCTCAAATTCAGGGCAGCCCGTGCACAAAACGCGTATTCAATAACGCGTGGAGCCAGTGAAAGGGATCTTTAGCGTTCATTAGCTCTATTCTCTTCCCTAGGACGTTGTTCCCTTAAAAGATAGCTTGGAAAACTTTCATCGAAAATTCATCGTTTTTAAATACGTTGCAGAAATGAGAGATTGTCAGAGTCAGAGAGTGGCGGTGGAAAACAGACGGATAATTCCATACGGCACAAGATCGTGGTGATGGGAGCGGCGAAAGTTGGCAAATCCGCTATAATCAACCAGTTTCTCTACCACACGTTTACCCCGAAGTACAAGCGAACGGTGGAAGAGATGCACCACGGTGATTTCAACGTTTCCGGCAAACATCTGACGCTCGACATCTTGGACACTTCGGGCGCGTACGAGTTTCCGGCCATGAGAGACCTATCTATCAAGTTCGCAGACGCGTTTATTCTGGTCTACGATATTCACGACCCTAACACGTTCGTCGAGGTGCAGACTCTGAGAGCTCAGGTTCTCAGCACGAAGGGCGTTGTTCCGATCGTCGTCGCCGCCAATAAAGTCGACTTGCTCGAGTCTGATTACAAGGTAAACCTTATCCCATCTATAAATCCTGTCCCCATTCACTCGTTTTCGTGCTACGTCACTGGCAAATTCCTTCTCTCTTTTAATTTTACTTAACACTTCACTTCAGGTGTTCGATGCGGACAGGAGAGAATTGGTGACTATGAAATGGAGAAACGGTTACGTGCCGGTGTCAGCGAAGGAGGACCTGAACGTTTCAGAGGTGTTCAAGGAGCTTTTAATCCAGGCAAAGTTGCAGTACAGCCTAAGCCCTGCATTGAGACGTCTTCGTCGACAATCGTTGCCACAGCCGCAGCATTTGAATTCCCGCAGCAGCAGCGCTCACGTGCCATCGCCGGCACAGCTGCAGCATCTGCGACGGATCTGCGACCGTTCCGAGTCCAAGAGGAATTCCTGCATTCTCTCGTAAACAGTCTGTCGCTACGTTTCTGCTGATCCAAAAGAGAAAGGGTGAGGGACTCGAAGGGCTAGGGCAAAGCTATGCCGCGACGATTCTATCAGCGAGTTCGTTCGCTGATCGTCAGATCGATCGACATGTCCTGTCGACACGCTCGGCACTTTGGATCGATCGTCGAATGGCCCATCGAAGGAATTAAACGGCTAAAAATGTCGTAGACGAAAAGGTAAAGGCCAGCTTCGACCGTGGAACGTGGTAATTTCTTCCTTCTCGATCCTTGGTAATTCGATATCGTTGAAGCTCCAAGAAGTCAAAATGGAATCGTTTCCGAACCGAAGATCCTCCGTACCATTTCAATTTGTAGAAGAACTTTTACCCTGGAGATAGCCTCTATTCGATTCCGACGAAACTTTATGATTCTCGCACGGTTATCGTACCGTTCAGGTTTTCGTAGTCCAATTTGAAGGATTTAGCAAATTTTCCTGAAAATTTATCGTACAAGAAAAAAAAGAAAAAAAAAAAAGAAACGATTCGATGAATAATAATTATTCAATGTTTATCGTTCGACAGTTCGATGTGCATAGCGCGAGTCAACGTACTTGATGTATCTATATTTTGTCTTCGATTAAAAATACGTCGCAAAATTTGGAATTATCGTTCCTAGGTAGAAGAAGTAACCATGATCAATGGAACACTTTGTGATTAGGCTAATTGCGAGAACTATATCACGTGAGTTAGTCATCCGACTTTTTTTTCATCGAGAACGTCCCTATTCCCTTTTCTCGATGCGAAATGCTCGATTTTATCGCGATGTTGCAGATCGATGAAGTGTAAACGGAAGCAAACGGCACATGCGCCATGGTCAAACATAATTATTCCGAATTATCGAACCGTAGAAATCCATCTTTAGAGATATATCGACGTATCTTGCAAAGGTATCCTACTTCAGGGTTGTCTCCCACTGCCCCACTCACTATCTTATTATCCATTTATGAACAACGGCCAAAGAACATTTGTAAAGCATCATTGGCTAGACGATTGAACTAACATCAAGCACTTGCCTACGCTCTTCTTTATACCATATATATATTTTATTTAAAAACGGATTACCCTCGATTTATTCGATCTATGAAATAAAAAGTTACATATAGGTTACGTCATAAGATACATCGTATTCATTATTTACGAAATAGTCTATTTAACGAGAGGTACCGCAAAGGTATCGTTCTCCTATTTACTACGAGATATCGAATTATTTGTCAATTGCGACCAACGTGAACTTATTGTACACGATTGCCTTGCCCGAAACCTAAGTTACCGTGAGTACAATAACGTTCAGGTGAGATGAACAACCACGTACAAATTCTATCCGATTACAGGTAGCTTTTTAACGTAAGAACCTTACTCGAAGGTCCTTCGCCTATACACGATATGCCTATACGCGGATCACACAGATCGCTCTGTGTTTGTCTGTCCCGATGTTACACAGGCTGACACTTGGTCTCGACAAACAGCGAGTTGCTAAAGTTGCACGGATAGTCAAAAATCGCCGGACTGTCCTCAGCAGTCCCTTTATATCCTATTCACCCCTCTTTCCAGGCCCGCCGACGACGTCGCGACGTTACGCCTGCTAATAGATATCGAGAGGCGAGCTTAGGCCGATAGTGATCTCGCTCTTTGGGAAGTCAGCACATCTACGAAACACGTCCGTGACCTTCCAAAACTTTAACCGCTAAGTGGCCACCGTACACCTAGGTTGACTGCAGCCCAATTTGGTGCAGGTCAAGAGACACTTAAGAGTATCCTTACTCTTACATTGAGTAGCATAATTGTACTTGTTGATACGAAAAGGGGTAGCATGTACGTTGCGATTTGTGTTGGCGGAATTAGATAACAAAGATACGCGTCTATAAATTTTAAACAAAATACCGTGCAACGATTGTTGATTTTAAGATTAGATGCAAAAATTTATTACTTCGCGTTATCACATGAAATATATATATATAGATATACATATAATCTATCGTTTGAGAAGAATGTCACGTTTTCGAATATATTATTCAGATACAAATCTATATATATATATATACACATACGTTAGTGTAAATGTAGAGAATCTATGTAAATAACAGAGCATTGTGATGTGGATATTTTAAATTATATAATTAAGCAGCCGCGGCTAGGCCATGTACTTTAACGCGTTTCGCGATTGTGAAATATCGCACATCACGATGAGAGGGTAACATTTGTTTCAATGTAAGGCCGCATCTCGAAATCAAAGTTATTTCATTATTCCAAATTATCTAATATAGACAAATCTTTGCTGAATTCGTGTATTTACCTGACCTGTGCAGCCGCATTACTTCGTGTTACGTAGATTAATGTTATCTAGACCAACCAGTTTAACGAGCGAACATCAAACTACGGAAATCTAAACATTTAACGGTGCGAATAATATCTATGTTTTACGGAATTACCGGACAAGTCACAATTAACAGGACTTCAACTATTTTTAGCGTAGCTCTGGAGAAAATATGTGGTGAGAAATTATTAAGTAGTCTTGCTTTCTCTCAAGCCCCTGCTTCCGCTCAAGCCCTTGCCTTTATATCATTGCGTTACCAGAAATTAAATAAAAGATGGATGTCATATTCAACTTCAACGCGATCTTGTTTTGTTCCATTCCTATTCCTTACAACTGTTGAACGTGATTACTGCAATATTATCAAGTACCACTTAAGGCGGCATGGATTTATATTTCTGACACGTATTTTATTTTCACGTTTACACGTATCGAGAATTACACAACTATAAACAAAGGAAACGTTACCAAGTTATGTAGCTTTTCAATAGTTATACCATGTACGAGACTAAATCTACAGTTTAATGGAACCGTGTCTCAAACTAATAGAAATACTGGCGTCAAAAATTTCCAGAAAGGTATATGTTGCACCTTATAAAATACTACAGAAGTATAAATTTATAATTTATAATAAAAGAAATGAAATTAATAAATCATTTTGTATTACGATCGAAAAGTATATATTTTCGAAATCGATAACGATCCTAAATTCGATCCTATAAAATGTCTAGGAATTTTATTAAGTTCGATTTTAATTTTACTGAATGGTTGAGGATCTACATTGAATGAAGAATATTAAAAATAATACAAGTGGTAGAAGAATTGAAAGATTATAATCTCTGTGATTGTTAAAATACATACTATATTAAATTTTTACTATATCTCATCTATACTAAAGATGTCCAATACGACAAATTTCAGAGTGTCTTCTGGTATACTCAAACGTAGGGTATGCTGCACGTTTTGTAAATATCTATGAAACATAACCTTAAATATAACTATGTGCCGATCAAATTTCCGTATTAAACTCGATTTGTGCAAATTTTACAATGATGTGCGTCGTTTTTCTTGGATATTCATTGATAGTACAAAAATGTTTCAAATTATTCATGTAATAGAACATATTGTAAAATTATTCAATATCAATGAGCCATTTCATTTATTATTAAATGAAGTTGAATATTTGCCACCCAATGAAGACATTCGTATTCTGAAGGAAAACGAAACAGTCCTGTAAGCATTATCACATTAAAAGTAAGTGAAAAAGAAAGTGTGTTATTTATATTAAAATGTTTTAGGGTTTCTCCTGGATCTGGATTGAAAAATCAGTTTGATTTAGCTGTAAGTACTACTGTTTTACCAGAAAACCAAAGTGGAGAGAAGTCAAGAAACATACCTGTAAAACTAGAGCAAACTAGAAATTCATATCAACATAATCAATTACAAACTAGTCTTTCTTCTACGTTATCAAGCACAGTCCCACGTATAGTATCGTGTTCAATTAAACAAATAACATCAAATCCAGTCGAACAGACAATATCAGATTCAGTTGAAAGGATAATATCAAGCCCAATTGAACAGAAGATATCAACTCCAGTTACACAAGCAGTGTCAACTGCAGTTTCACCAGTAGTATCAACACCGATTCAACAAAGAGTATCAAGTCCAGTTGAACAAAAAGTACCAACCTCGTTTCAACAAACAGAATCAATGTCGGTTCAACTATCAAGCGACTCCACAACCAAATCACAAGGTGGTAAGAAAATAAATAGTTTAATCAATGTCTATTGATATAAATCTTACAAAAATATTTAATATGATAGAAAATTTCTCAGTACGCCCGAAAAGAAGAAGATACAGACGTGCACAGAAGATATCAACTCCAGTTACACAAGCAGTGTCAACTGCAGTTCCACCAGTAGTATCAACACCGATTCAACAAAGAGTATCAAGTCCAGTTGAACAAAAAGTACCAACCTCGTTTCAGCAAACAGAATCAATGTCGGTTCAACTATCAAGCGACTCCACAACCAAATCACAAGGTGGTAAGAAAATAAATAGTTTAATCAATGTCTATTGATATAAATCTTACAAAAATATTTAATATGATAGAAAATTTCTCAGTACGCCCGAAAAGAAGAAGATACAGACGTGCAAAGAAGAAAATACAGACTGAATATTCAGAGATTAAGAAAAATAAAAACAATTTAAAGAAGCCCATGATTATAAATTATTGTACTATTCCCTGTGGCAAACATATTCGTTTTGATAATATAGATGATAAAAATATTACAGAAAAAGATACTACTTCTGTAGAAACAATGAATAGTGCTAATACAACTAATGTATCACCTCCTCATGAACTTGCTAATTTATTATCATTAGGTCAAAATTCTACTCCACTTACCTTTACAAACATTAGAGCAAAGGATGAAATCAAAGTAGAGCCCATATCTGATGTAGAAATTTCCTCCAATCAATCCTCTGAAAATATCAAAAAAGATACAACATTAATTAATGAAGTAAATTTATTAAAAGAAGCATGGGATACAGATTATGGAGTGTATCCAATTATGACAACAAAACCACAACTTGAAGATGTTATTGCATTTCAGGTAATATTTCTACATATTATTCATTATCTTGTTTTTACATAAAATTAATTTTTAGATATTCAAAACAGGAATGTATTATGAATCAGGATTATCAAAATTTATCGTAGCAAAAGTTATATCTTATTGTGCAGAAACATCATTGTACACCCTTAAAATATCACGTAAGTGATTTAGATATAATTTATATTTAATATCAAAGAACATGTCAATGTGCTTCTTGTTACTTGTAATAAACGATATTTTTTCCTTGCAATAGAAGGTTTATCCGAAATACAAGAACCAAATGGAGAGCTTACGCTTACAACAGGGGAAGAAGAATGTGTAATAAATGATACTATTAAATTAAATTATACACGAATGTTCGAACCACGTCTCGTATCTACAGATACTTTAAACAAAACAATTAATCCAGTTAATTCTATTGATTATTAATTCACATATTTATTTTATATATCTTAACCCAAATATTTTTGTGCAAATGAAATATATTGCCTGATCATCATATTCTGTTTTATAATAATTGATAAATAATAAAGTTTACGCTAATTACCCTTTTTTTGAGCTTAAGTATAACATGAACAGCAGCGCTTTGTAACATGTATCCGTAATTACTACAAAACTTGATTAAATTTCATTTGCTAACACTTTATTAACACAACGCAGAATAAATTTCGTTGCAAAAAGTAATGCTAAACTATCAAAGAAAACCGTTAATAGTACCGATTGCTAAATTTCACTTTAGTCTTTTCACCCGCGTAAATTTTTGTTTGCTCCGAATTAAACACTTTAATATTATTTTATATAATTAAATTTCTGAAGAAAATACGTATTATTATTCACTTCTTTTGGATATTTAATGCACTTTCACGATTATTTGCATTCGATTCAAAAAACCTGAAAAGCCTGCGCGCGCAGTTCCAATTTGGTCGAATCTTCCTTTCCTGCCTCATTTTGATTGGTTGAACTTCATCTCGCTACTGAAATGCGAGCATTTCGAAATGTCGCGTAATTTAAAGAAATAACGCGTCATTCGTATGTACTTACTATACTAAACCACACATAATTAGAACATAATTTTGTGTTTGAACACAAATTATTATCTTATTATAAAAGAAAAGGAGAGGATCATTAAAATAGAAGAAAATATATTATATCGATGTTTATAATACAGCACAGAGTAGGTTTTGTTTTAACGAGTCTGACTATCTTTTTTCGGTTTTGAGCCTTCGTTTGCGAAATTCAGAGACGAAAGTGCAAGTGTCTGTCCGATTATGTTCTGCTACTTAATTTTCTCGTTTATATGTCCGAAATTCTGGTAGCTGATTACGATTTGTTGCTTAATCAGTGTAGAATTGACTGTTTTATAAATTGCAGGCCGATTTTTTTTTCGATTTTGAGGGGTCAGTTCCGAAATACAGTAACGGTAGTGCAAGTGTTTATGGAAACGTCCTACGCTGTTGGCTGTATAAGTGTACTTCTAATTCATTAAAATACAAAAGTTGTTTAAGTTACTGTTCATGAGAAATTTCTCAAAGTATAAATTTATAATAAAAGAAAAGAAATTAATAAATCATTATATTTACATATACATATATATAAAAAAGTAAATATTTTCGGAATCGATAACGATTCTAAATTCGATCCTATAAAATGTCTATGAATTTTTTTGAGTTCGATTTTAATTTTAACGAATAATTAAGGATCTACAATGAATGAAAAATATTAAAAATCCTCCGAGTGGTAGGAGAGAATGATCATAATCTCTGTGATTGTTAAAATACATACTACATTAAATCTTTACTATATCTTATCTGTACTAAAGCATCCTTAATGCGGTAAATTTCAGAGTGTCTTCTGATACGCTCAAACGTAGGGTATGCTGCACGTTTTGTAAATATCTATGAAACATAACCTTAAATATAGCTATGTGTCGATCAAATTTCCGTATTAAACTCGACTTGTGCAAATTTTACAATGATGTACGTCGCTTTTCTTGGATATTCATTGATAGTACAAAAATGTTTCAAATTATTCATATAATAGAACATATTGTAAAATTATTCAATATGAAAGAGCCATTTCATTTATTATTAAATGAAGTTGATTATTTACCACCCAATGAAGACATTCGTATTCTGAAGGAAAATGAAGCAGTCCTGTAAGAACTATTACATTATAAGTGAAGAAGAAAGTGTATTATTTACATTAAAATGTTCTAGGGTTTCTCCTGGATCTGGATTGGAAAATCAGTTTGATTTAGCTGTAAGTACTACTGTTTTACCAGAAAACCAAAGTGGAGAGAAGTCAAGAAACACACCTGTAAAACTAGAACAAACTAGGAATTCATATCAACACAATCAATTACAAACTACTCTTTCTTCTACGTTATCAAGCAAAGTCCCACATATAGTATCGTGTTCAGTTGGACAGATAACATCAAATCCAGTAGAACAAACAATATCAGACTCAGTTGAAAGGATAATATCAAGCACAATTGACCAGAAGATATCAACTCCAGTTACGCAAGCAGTGTCAACTGCAGTTTCATCAGCAATATCAACCCCAATTCAACAAAGAGTATCAGATCCAGTTGAACAAAAAGTACGAACCTCGTTTGAACAAACAGAATCAATGTGGGTTAAACTATCGAGCGACTCTACAACCAGATCACAAAGTGGTAAGAAGATAAATAGTTTAATTAAAATCTATTGATATAAATCTTACAAAAGTATTTAATATGATAGAAAATTTCTCAGTATGCCTGAAAAGAAAAAGATACAGACGTGCAAAGAAGAAGATGCAGACTGAATATCCAGAGATTGAGAAAAATGAAAACAATTTAAAGAAGCCCATGATTATAAATTATTGTACTATTCCCTGTGGCAAACATATTCGTTTTGATAATATAGATGATAAAATTATTACAGAAAAAGATACTACTTCTGTAGAAACAATGAATAGTGCTAATACAACTAATATATCACCTCCTCAGGAACTTGCTAATTTATTATCATTAAGTCAAAATTCTACTCTACTTACCTTTACAAACATTAAAGCAAAGGATGAAATCAAAATAGAGCCCATGTCTGATGTAGAAATTTCCTCTAATTTATCAGATTTATTAAATGAATCATGGAATACAGATTATGGAGTATTTCCAATTATGACGACAAAACCGCAACTTAAAGATGTTATTGCATTTCAGGTAATATTTTTACACGCTATTCCTTATCTTGTTTTTACATAAAATTAATTTTTAGATACTCAAAATGGGAATGGATTATACACCACAAATATCAAACTTTATCGTAGCAGAAGTTGTATCTTATTGTGCAGAAACATCATTGTACACCCTTAAAATATCTCGTAAGTGATTCACATGTAATTTCTATTTAATAGCAAAGAACATGTCAATATATTTCTCGTTGCTTGTAATAAAAGATATTTTTTTCCTGTAACAGAAGGTTTATCTGAAATGCAAGAACCAAATGGAAAATTTGCGCTTACAACAGAAGAAGAAGAATGTGTAATAAATGATACTGTTACATTAAGTTATGCTCAAATAATAAAACCACGACTTGTATCTACACATGCTTCAAAACAGAACAATTAATCCAGTTAAATCTATTGAATATTAATTTACATATTTATTTTATATATCGTAACCCAAATATTTTTGTGAAAATGAAATATATTGCCTGATCATCATATTTTGTTTTATAATAATTGATAAATAATAAAGTTTACGCTAATTACCTTTTTTTTGAGCTTCAGTATAACATAAACAGCAACGCCTTGTAACATGTATCCGTAATTACTATAAAACTTGATTAAATTTCATTTGCTAACACTTTATTAGCACAACGCAGAATAAATTTCGTCGCAAAAAGTAATGCTAAACTTTCAAAGAAAACCGTTAAACGACACGTAATAGTACCGATTGCTAAATTTCACTTTAGTCTTTTCACCCGTGTAAATTTTTGTTTCCTCCGAATTAAACACTTTAATATTATATTATAGAATTAAATTTCTGAGGAAAATGCGTATTATTATTCATTTTTTGGGGGATATTTAATGCACGTTCACGATTATTTGCATTCGATTCAAAAAACCTGAAATGCCTGCGCGCGCATGTCCGGCTTGGTCGAATTTTCCTTTCCTGCCTCATTTTGATTGGTTGAACTTCATCTCGCTACTGAAATGCGAGCATTTCGAAATGTCGCGTAATTTAAAGAAATAACGCGTCATTCGTATGTACTTACTATACTAGATCACACATAATTAGAACATAATTTTGTGTTTGAAGACAAATTATTATCTTATTATAGAAGAAAAGGAAAGGATCATTAAAATAGAAGAAAATATATTATATCGATGTTTGTAATACTAACAAAAATCAATTTTTAATTTAATGAATTTTTACTTCAAAACTTATTTAACTTATGTTTATGTTTAACTCGTATGTGAATTTAATAGATGCTTCTGTGTATTTAATGTGATGCAATGATGAAGCGTTAGACAAGAAAGTTATAAATGAAAAAATTTCGTCATAAAAATTAGACTTGAAGTAAATTAATTTTTTAAATTCTTTAGGTTCCTTTCTTTATATTACCATTCTTATGTGAAATATGTATATCTATTATTATATAGAAAATTTTGCATATTCCATTTTACGATTGTACGATTTTCATAATTATTGGCTACATCGAGCAAACAGGTAACGAAATTAATCAAATTTCAACATATCTGTTCATTAAAAGCATTTCCTCGTTGAACTCGTCTTTTCAATGGAATTGAATTTGCGAAGCAATATCAGAGAACGTTATATTGACACAAGCTTCGCTAAAACTTCCATTAGTAAACACATTATTTCTCATTCAATCTTCAAGACGACAATCGCAGCGAGGAATGAATTAATGCCTATTTCCATTACCAATGATCAATATTCTAAAAGCGTATACAAGAATATTATTACACACCGAAATTATACGATACTGCACTTATGTGTAATTAGCAAACGAGTGAAAAAATAAACATCCTTAAGTTTCAACTTAATTGACGACTAGCTGGTTTATTCTCGTCGCATGATTCAAATGTCGTAGTTCGTAATTAAATTCGCTTCAGTATTTCCTACACAGTGCGTACATCATCCAGTCGTTTGTCCTTTGCTGATGAATCTAATCGCGAATGGGATACCTGGGTTTAATTCCACGGCAGCAATGATCGCGTTCGCACGATACTGGTTAATAGAAAGCAGCGCGAACGTGCGGTTTGCTGCCGAGAGTGGCCATGTATTCGCATAATTCCGGGTCAGCGATTAATAATCGCATCCAGGGAAAATTGCGGCATTACTCGAGATTCTAGCCCTAATATTCCTTTGCTGGGCACAGCTTATCCATTGTAATCGCGTGATTGAAAGCCCCAATACGTTGAACTCTAATAACACTGATCAACGCGAATTTTAATCTGTAATATCCATTAGATAATTCTTTTAGAATCTACTTTCCTGGAAACGAAAATATAATCGAAATTGCTCTATCACCCCTAGTTCTAAAAGATTGAGAGTTTTTATAAAAACGAACGATTTTAGGATATAATGAAGTATTACATAAAAAGTAAGAAGGGAAGAATGAACATTCTTGTCTTAAATTTATAGTAAAAGTATACTTATGAACGTAACTGTGTTAAAAAATACCAATAATTTACAAAAAATTTATAAATTATTGGACCAATCGTTAAAAATAAATTAATTTTATTAATAACAAATTGTCCAGAATGCAAACTTATGGTAAAAGTGAAAAAATTAATAAATTATTGCCTACGAGAGCGGAAAATTAATAATTAATAAAATCGGCAAACTTAGAAAATTTCCGATAAGGGTGGGGAGCTCGGCCGATCGGAGACTATATAAGGGGCGACGCGACCCTGCAGAACTCATTTGTCGGTTTGGCCTCGCGCGCGTAACATCTAAATTTTCATAGTGCGCGAGGGTGGAGGGTCCCAAGTGAGGTTGGGGCTAGCCACCCCACCCCCACTCCTCCACCTTAAACAATTTAATAATTTTTTTCTTGTTTTTAGATATTAATAATTTTTTTGTTGTTTTCAGCTGTTAATTATTTTATTTCTTTTCAGGTTTTAATACTTTTTAATTTTTTCGGAGTTTATTTTCTCGTTTCTATTTACTTTTATTCGACATTCGAATATTTCGTATAATATTCGAATGTTTCCTCGTTGGCTTGTTGATATCTTATCGTGGAAAGGGATCAAAATACTTTTATTCCCTCTGTATTTTTTCCAAATCAGAGGGTGACAGTGCAATTTTGATTAGCATTCGTTTTCAGGAAAGTAAACTCTACGAGAATCATCTAATGGATATTACAGATTAGGGTAAAAGTCGAAATTTGTTGGTCAGTGTTATCATGCTTGCTCGTATACGCTACAGCCACAACCTATGGTTGCTAATCCGGACGATCTCACGTGCGTAGCACATATAAACGAGCAAGGAGACGTATATAGTAAACATTGTTTCGGCACTTGGGCATTCTAGCATTCATCCTTCGTGTATGGAAGACAGGTGTCATTAATTTTCTAGATAAGTCTATCATTTCCGGCTGCGTCGTTGACAATAATATAAGTACGTCGAATGTCAGATATACTCGGTTTGTCATACATCGACACAGTGGTTCATTTGCACGCTCAACTGTCGATGTACGATTTCTCGACGCGTGATGTACGACACGCTTTTATAATCCTAGCTTCATCCGCGTCACAATTTTTACGTTGCTCCAATTTTTCCTTCTCTTTTAGTCTAGTTGCGCGGGACCGGTGTAAGTAATCACGAAAAACGTCATCTCATATACCGTGACCAAATATTTGTCACTGACTGAATATAATCGAGATGATAATTCGAGGTGTGAATAATTTACCAGGTGAAATACGAAAGTGAATCCGTGTCTGATTTCACTCTCGCGAGTCCATCCTTGTAACGCGATGAATTTATTTCTGCGCTTCGAGGGTGAATTATTCATAGTTAAATTGCAGCTAAGAAAGTGTGTCGTGATCACTTAAGCTCGAACTGAGTGTTTACTGCATTCCGAGATCATTCTCCGATCAAAAGTTTCCGAAAATTTCTCGTTTTTCCGATTCTCGTGTAACGAGCTTCTGCTTTTCACGCTTGTTAGCATCGTTGCAGCGTTCTTCCGACCGATTTCGATTTCGTTCATCGATTTTCAGAGATTAGGACGTAATAGTTGGACGTTGATTCGACTACGAAGATAAACTGGAAATTTCGGTGCGTGGAACAGTCGCGTGCGGCAAATTATTCGACATCAAGCTCTATTGACGTTGGTAATTAGACCAACCCTGCATTTCAATCGATGTATAATTCAACACGAGTCCGTTTCACGAATACAGGTGACTCGCGTAGGTGTTAGGTGGCAGAAAAATGTGGCGACGTAAAAATTGCATTATACGAGGTTCGGATTACGCGCATACGGAAGTACCAAATTACTGAAACGCATATTATTCACACCGTCGTGGCATAAATATATCAGGATCAGTTTATATCTTCAGACTCCGGTTCCAAAAGTAACATTACACTTTTCCTATTAGTTCTCTAAATTTAGTTTACCAGGATCATCAGGTTCGCTTGTCAGCGCGTTAAAAATATTTTTTGAAAGTATAAACACCGTACATTTTTATTGCTTTATACCGTCGGATAAGAAACTCGTATCCATCGAATGTACACCTAAAGAAGTACGCATAACTTCGTAAAGCGCTATATAATGATCGAGTACAATTTATGAATCGCGTCACATAGAATCCACGTTTTACAAGTATCGCCTTAGACATGTGTAGGATGGCGAATACTGGTCTTGAGACACAGAAAATTGTCGAAAGAACAAGAACGCGATAACACAAACTCAAAACTCGTAGACTGATTTAACTTAGGAAAGGAACACCGAGATAACGAAACGAAAACACACAAAGACGCACTCTTTTGAGACTCTCTTTCCAACATCAAACGACTCACGCTTGTGCTGGTCACAACCGATTTCTAAGGATTCTGTTTTGCTTGTCAAGGACCACGCTTGTATGCTTTCCTTAACCCCTTGGCTACTGTGGGCGCATATACGCGCTCAGAAATTTTGCTTTTGTGACACGGAAGGCGCATATAAGTACTCAACACAGTTTGCTTTTCTGACACGGAGGACGCATCTCTACCCAAAATTTTGCCGTTCTCGGCGGACATTGTAAATGAACTCCTTCCTGTGAGGTACGACCGGTGCGTTTCAAAGTCTGCCGTAGTCAAAGGGTTAACCTACGCCTCATTTCCCCCTAGGGGAGCCGAGAAACTTAATTTTGTTATATAGAATAACTTTTCCATTTGCTTCTAGAAGCTATCGATCGGTTTACAATTTGTTTCTGTTAGCAATGGCCGATTCGCGATTTCTTTTGCTATCCTACACATGCTTTGTCGTTTTCGCACTCGAATTGTACCGTATTTACTTATCTTCGAATTTAACCAGTATTTATATAATAACTTCCAACGAAAGTGACTTCTCGTCCCCGGATTCCAAGTTCATTTCACCGAGTCAGAGGTGTCGTTCACAGCGTTTTCGGGGATAACAAGCGCTTTACGAGGAAACTTTCCCTGCTAC